TAAGTGTAATACAAGAAGGTATTATCCTACTAAATATTTTGAAAAACCACTCATGTAGTAACACGAGCTGGTGGAATAGCATTAGACATAAATTATAAATTGTCTAAAGGATATATTTGTAATAATTAAGTTTGTATTCCTGAAAGTTTTTTAATAGCTAAAAACTTAACTAGCCAAGTTATACTTGGAACTCCTTCTCTAAAAAGAATTTTTCCAATTACACATATTGATGTTGATAAAGTTACAGGCACATATGATAAAAGATCTGTATCCTTTAAGTTTATAACTGAACCAAATACGAGATTCATTAATGAACTTAAAAATCTTATTTTTAGAAAAAATAATCAAATTAATTTTCTAAAGTTTGAAATTAATACATTTTCAATTGAAGAAGATCTAAAAAGTCCTAAATTACAAGAAAAAATTAAAAAAAAGTATACAATAGTATTTCTACTGAGATTTGCAATGAACACTCAATGCTTTTTGGAATAGAAAAAGACATGTTGTTAGTCTTCCATATGAAGAAGATTTTGATGAAGAAACAATGATTAAGACCAAGGCAAGACCTCTTCAAATGAAATAATGAATTATGAATACTTAGAATTTTGTAAAAATAAAATTAATGTATTATTAGAAAAAGGTTTGATTAAAAAGTCAAACTCTCCATGGTCATGTACGGGATTCTATGTTAATAAACATAGTGAGATAGAAAGAGAAAAACCAAGAGTGGTTATAAATTATAGACCTCTTAATAAAGTATTAAAATGGATTAGACACCCAATTCCTAATAAAAAAGATTTATTAGATAGACTCTATGAATCATTGATATTTTCTAAATTTGATTTAAAATTTGGGCATTGGCAGATTCAAATTGCTGAATCAGACCAATATAAAATTACTTTTAATGTTCCAATTGGACACTTTGAATAGAAAGTCATGCCTTTTGGATTGAAAAATGCACTTTCTGAATTTCAGAAAATTATGAATGATATTTTTATCCCATATAGTGAATTTATTATTGTTTATATTGACGATATCTTAGTATTTTCAAAAGATATTCAATCTCATTTTGAACATTTGAATATATTTCAGAGATTAGTAAAACAAAATGGTTTTGTTATATCTCAATCAAAAATATCTTTATTTCAAATAAATGTAAGATTTTTAGGACATAATATTGAGAAAGGAAAAATTATACCAATTGATAGAAGTGTTGATTTTGCTTCTAAATTCCCTGGTGAAATTTTAGATAAAACTCAATTACAAAGGTTTTTAGGAAGTTTAAATTATATTTTACCTTATTATAAAAATTTAGCTTATGATACTGCTATTTTATATGACAGGTTAAAAAATAATCCAAAACCTTGGACAGAAAAACATCCTAAAGCTATTCCGAAAATAAAAAATAAAGTAAAAATATTACCATGTTTAGTTTTAGCAAATCATAAATGGGAAAAAATAGTTGAGACAGATGTCTCAGATATAGGATATGGTGGAATACTGAAACAAATTTGTCCTGATGATAAACAAGAAAAATTAATAAGATATCATTCAGAAAAATGGACTCAAAGTCAGAAGAATTATGCTACAGTCGCAAAAGAAATTCTTGCAATAGTCAAATGTGTTTTAAAATTCCAAAATTATTTATATAATCAGAAATTTACTATTAAAACAGATTGTCAATCAACTAAATATATGTTTAATAAAGATTTTAAACAGGATGTTTCTAAGTAAATGTATGCTAGATGACAAGCTAATTTAGCTCCTTTTGATTTTGATATTGTATATAAGAAAGGAAAAGATAACAATCTCCCTGACTTTTTATCTCGTGAATTTTTATAGGATGATACCACGAGGAGGCCAATATAGGGGCCGTGGAGGAAGAGGTAATACCTCTTATACCCAAGGAAGAGGCAATATCCCCTCACATATTGGGAACAAAAAATTAATATCTGCAAATATTGCTGACTTAAGCAAAGATCCCTCATTATATGAGAAATTTAAAAAATTTATAGAAAAAGAAGGAGAATCATCCTCCTCTGCTACAATAGAAACGTATGCAGATACAGTAATGGTTGAAGATAATATTACTGCATATCATGCTAATAACAAGAAAGAAATTATATTTCTTATAGAAGAAAAAGATCTCCAATGGGAGAAAGATCTATGGTTAATAATGATCAGATATTTGGATATAGTATCATATGCTGCTATGTCGTACAAACCAAGGTCATACTATGAAAGTATTTTGAAAGTTTCAAGTTCTTGTGAAATAACACATTTTTTCTCTAATAGAGGAAATAATGTTTATAATCTCAGTAAAATTATCATTAAGAAGATTATATCTGCTGAGGAATGGGGTTTATCTACCCTAAAAGAAAAGGAATTTATAATTCCTGAGTCTAAAATAACTTTTAAATATAATTAATGAGATTATATCGAAGCCTTTAATAAGGTATTTTTATATGAAAATCCTAATAGGAAACATTCATGGTTTATTAAAATATGTGAAAAGGTTTATAACAGTCCCATGCCAAATTGGTTTACTCAATGGTGGTATACTTATGGACCGTCAAGAAAAATAATTCCTGATAGATTTACTCCATTATATGGTGAATGGATGAAGATTTCACCTAAAATATCACAATTGATTACATCTAATAGGTGTAATGAGGATATAGCCACAATGATGTTCTTTACTTAATTTTCAATTCTGTGGATATGGAAATGGGTTCCAGAAGTCGGTTATACTGACAAGAAATTACTTTGCCTCAAAAGAATTGGTTATACCAAATTTTGGGACAAAATGATGAAAATCAACCCAGATACAAAACAATTGTACGGACAAGAAGTTGCTAAATGACATTCATCAGAAGAATGAACAATATCACAATATTAAAGAACAAATTGAAGTAAAGGACATTAACCCTTTCCAACATATCACAATGAAGATAAAGCTACAGAAGGATCATATATCTAGAGAAGAAATTATTCAAGCTTATATGGAAGAGCTAAAACAAGAATTAAAAAGGAATTTGGCTGATGATAGACCAGATGTTTTAATGGCAACATCAAGTGAATGACATTGTTTAGCTTGAGAATCACAGGACCCAGATGAAGAATAGGAAAAAGAATTGATCAACGAACACATCAAACAAATAACTGTAGAAATAAATGCAGAAACAAGTGGGGACATCCTCAAAAAAAAAAAAAAAATCAGCAATTATGTAATAAGACCAAAAATTAATTTGGAAAGTTGCTTTGATAAAGCAACAATAATGTTGTAATATTGTGTGTTAAAAGTACTATTGTAACACTGTACGGAATTCAAAAGAAAAATTTTGAAATCTGTAACAATAGTTAGGAAGAGTCCTATAAATAGGATTGAATCCTAAACTGGATATCGACTTTTTCTTTCTCCTTTCAATTTTCTCTCTCCCTCGCTTTGTAAAATATTCTCAATTTAAATTTGAAGAAGAAGAGTTTTGCTCCTTCGTAAGTGTTCTTATTTTGTTTGTCTTTAATTTAATATTGTTATTTTAAATTCATAATGACAGGCTAATAGCCTGGTAGTTGGGATAAGATGAAGTAATTGCTTGTTTAGACGTAGTTTTAATCCTGTTTCTGATAGAATAATGGAATGATTCGAGAATCATTTTGAAAAGGGTAAGAGTTATTAAAACTGGTCATGAATTATATGAGTAGGGTTAGCTCGTTTTAAAGCCGTGTGGTTGGCGTGTTAAGAGCGTTGATCCCAGTTTGCTCATATAAGTTCAATGTTGACGGAGATTTCTCTGTAAATTTTTCTAATATTCTCCCTCTTTCTCTATTTATTTCCTATTTAGTTTTAGTAAACTACATTCATGATCTCGGTTGAACAATTATCCACAAAGTCAAATAGCAAAAGTCAACGTAACACATGATCAGTTTTCGTTAATACTAAATAACTACCTTGACAAAAAAACAAAAAAAAAGGAATGCAAATCAGAAAAATAACAAAAGAAAAATGGCTTGGATGGTGCCGTTTGGTCCGCCGTCTAAATCATCCAAGATGGCATGATGTTACCAAATCAAATAACACATATTTTAGTTAATAAAAATATTGATGCAATCACTTGTTTTAATTGAACTAGGAAAAAAAAAATCTTAATTACAAACAACTCCTATCGATCACCTAATGTGTTAGGTCGCACCCCTTAAGTTATGAATTTTGACATATTATTCTAGTAATCCTTTAAATTCCTTAAAGACTAATTACTATCAGCAGATATTTGCACCGAAAAAATTAAAAGACATAACTTATCTTTTATTAATTTCATAGAAGCATCATTATTTCAATTTTCTTTGCTAGGCTGAGTAAACTACATTTACTGTATAATGATTTTGTGTGCTCAAGCTTCATTTCTTTTCTTTTTTTTTTAAGGATATCTATTAATAAATTTATTTATTAAGACAAGGAATTTCAAATTTTACATTTTCATTTCAAAAGCCCATTTGGAAAATTTATATTTTATGGCCTGCTAGAGAAACATTTCTTTTTATTAATATCTTTGTAATTTTGACATTTTAACTAACTGAAATTGATGATTTAAAATTTTTTTTTAGTATAATTCTTTTCGAACGAGGATGTTATGACATGTGTTTTTTTCGTTCTCATTTTAATTTTAGCTCAAAATTATTAGAAAATTTATTGGAAATGTAAAAAAAAAAATTGTTGTATTTGAAAGTAACATGAACAGAAAAATAAATTCTTTTTTTTTTGTTAAGGTTTAGACTGCTTTGATTCCCTGAAGATCTATTCAAATTACGATTTTCTGGGCTATTGAAACATTAGGAAAATAATGTTGAAATAAAAAAAAAAAAAAGTTTAGGAATGAAAGTGTACCAATCAAAATTTTAAGGGCACTTTGTGAAAGGTAGGAAAGTTCAAGGTTGTGTTATTTAATTAGTTCATATAAAATTGCAGTAAATTAAATTTCAACTTTGAACATAGATGTAAACGGCACAGAACAGGCCTCCAATCAAACAAAAAAAAAAACAAAGAGCAAGAAAGTCCCACCAGCATCATCCCAAATCCAATCATCATCCCATTATTATATGTATCCTCATCGTGATGTTGGAACTTCCCCTTTGGACCCTTTTGAAATTGATGAAATTTGGTGGTGTTGGAGCTGTTCTTCGGAATGGCAAGCTCCGGCAAGGACGAGGAGGAGGATACCGCCGGCATGGAGAGGCTGAAAGTGCTGGACGGTGTGAAAATGGTTGATGCGCCGATCATTTTATTTGTTCTTTCTCATAAGGCGTTTGTGAAGGAGCTTGAGGAGCTTTGCAAAGTGTCAATTGCGGCTGTGGAGAGTGGGTCTTGTGACAGGGGAGTTGTTGATGATCTTTGCAGGAGGTTTGAGTTCTTTAAGCTCGTCTATGAATACCACTGTGCTGCTGAAGATGAGGTTTAGTCATTTTGCTCATAGCTTCTTTTCTTTGATTTCTATTTTTTTTGGATTTACATAGGTTTGGTTTTGGGGGAAATTATGTTGTGTTAAGGATGAAATGTTTGCTTTAGAAAAAGGGTTCTGGTAGCTGTAGACTCCCACCAGCTCAAATTATGTTATCTTACTATGATCAAATTCAATTTAAAACTGGATTGTCTAACGTGAGCTGATTAATTGGAGTTCATGCGGACCAAGTATGTTTGTTTAGCGGGTTGATGCCATATTACTGTTACTGACTATAATCGAGAGAATACTGGCTGACTAAAAATTTTAAGAACTAATTTTTGAGTTACAGGTTCTTAGGTTTCTTCCTCGATGGTGGAATAACTCTTCTTTGATTTTTGCTATTTAGTTTGGAAGGGATGTGTGAAAATGCTTTACCACTTTTCAAAGAAAATGGATTGGGCAACTAATACCTATTTGAAGTGTTTAATGTGGTTTAGGAGAAAAGAGATACCTGAACAACTATTGATCTCAATGAAACTCATTGCTGATTCCATTTTATGGGAATGCTTCCTTTACTATCTGTACTTAAAAAGAATCCTGTTCTGGTAACTTAAATATTTTCTTACAATCATCAAACAACCCAATGATAAGCTTATTAAAAAGGATTGATTATCATTTTTAGCAGACCAACTGCATGAGGCAAAAATTTATGCATGCCTGTAAGAAATGAAGGATCAGGCTAAGTAACCATTGCTTTCACTTTCTGGAGGCCACTAAAGCTGGGGTCATCCGACCATTACTAGAAAAGCAAAAAGAAAAAAACTTAGGAGTGAAGGCCAGTAATGTCCTGATGTGATTGAACTTGTCAACTTGTTTTTTTTCTGTTACTTTATTCTAATAGAAGAGGTAGTCTGAGTTGTTTCTTCTTTTCCTTTCCTTTTCTTTTTTTTTTTCTTTTCCTTTCGGGTTTCTGAAAGATTTGTATCATTTTTCTTCATTATGTTCATCTATGTTTGCAGTTGCTGATCATTAAAGTTTCTGACAGATTCTCTTTGAGGAACTGGGCAATCCAATCAAGAATGGCTTGTCTATATATGCTGAAGAACATAAAAACATAATTGGAAAATTCAGATCCTTGTTGGATTGTTTGAATCTTCTGAAGAAGGAGGAGACTGAAGAATTATCTAATACTCTATCAGAACTTCTATCTTTGATTGTATCCATAAAGTCCATCTTCTGCCATCATGTCCTGAAAGAAGAAAGACAGGTCTCCATCACTTCTCCGTTCCCAAGTCTGTTTGGTTGTTGTTACATGTGTTTGGCTGTGATTTTTTTTTTCCCTACTTTCTCTCAGAGAGAAGTTCTGAATTCAGATACAGATCATTCAGATTTATTTGAACTTGGAATGTAATATGTGACATTACTGAAAACCTTCCAGAAACATAGGCACAAAGTACAAAGGTTTACGAGAAATGTCATTATGAAGGTGATATTTGTGTGATTTATGAAATTGGGTTTCTTTCTGCAAATGAAGATTTCTACTATAAGCTTAAATAAGAATACATCAAAATTTTTCATTAATCTCTCTCTGAGTAGAATTCCCAGCGTCCATACCAGAGACTTGCTGAATTGGTTATGTCTTATCTTTTTTCTTAGATCATCTAGTAAAAGCTTGTGATGATTCGTTTAACAAGGCATTTTCTATATCTCATGTGATAGAATGTTTCAAGTAGGTAGAGAATACACAAGCGTACCACTCTTAGATGTACTTTACCGAGGCCTATTGTTTATGGCATTTTTTTGACCTTTTTCTATAGACATAATGATCCTTATTTTGCCAAAATGTTGAAGACAATTGGTAAATTGTATGTTTTTTATGGTTGCATGCTTTTTTAACCATGTATTGTAAATTCTGAATGCACGCGGTTTGTGATGTTACTTCGCACTAGTTCTTAGATGCACTTCAATTGGATTATGTATATATTCCAATATGTTGAAAGAAACCACAAGAAGAAAATTAACATTTATGATGGGGATCACGGATTAGGACATGAGCACTATCTATTGTCAAAATTACTGAAATGATGCTTGAATTTAATTAAAAGTCTTGACGAATACGTTGGGCTGAATGAGTAGATTGAGAATTTGACATCTCATAACTTGGTGCAGGTTTTTCCGTTCATTTTAAAGCAATTTTCTTTGGAGAAACAAGCTAAGATTGTATGGCAGTATATCTGTGCTCTCCCTCTTGCTGTTTTAGAAGATTTTATACGCTGGATGGCCTCATTACTTCCTCCAGAGGAACAAATAGACTTTGCAGTTGGTATAAAGGCGGTTTTACCTGAGGAGGAGGTACTTCAGGAGGTATAACTTCCTTTCATGTCTATCCATTCTGCAACTATTCTCTTTTCTTCTTCTGATGAGTGTTGGACTCCATCTTGAAGGTTGTCATTTCCTGGCTTTGCGAAAAGAAATCATCTCATACTGAGGCCTTTATTGTGCATGGAATTGGAGCTCGATGTCATAGTGGAGAAGCTAGTTTTGGCAATTTACTTGAGCTATTTCCAGATGCATGTCATTTTACTGGGGAAGAACAATCAAAGAAACCACGTTCAACACAATCAAGTAGTAGGGAGAACCCAATCGCTGGCATTCATATTATGAATAGTGCTATTATGAGGGAATTCAGGGAAATCTTGGTCCTGTTGAATCAATCAAGGATATCAGCTACATGTTCAGACATATCTTCTCTACTAATACAGCTACAATTCCTCGCTGATCTCCTTATCTTCTACAGGTACCTTCATAATTCACAGGCCTTTTGTCAGTTAGCAATTTTGCATTAGTTACATAAGTCTAAGCAAGAAGCATTTTCTAATTTTGACTAGTTACAGACTCTTTCCTTTACATATGTGATAAAGAAATTTGATCCATCATGTGAGTTTCCGTTTCACTTGGTTGCTTATTTGAACTACTGAATCCCAAATTAGAATCAGAAAATATGTTATACGTACTTCACTTCCGCCAATATGAATAGTCTCAGAATGTTATACTCGCCCAGTGTAGCTACAGTCACTGCAGTCTTTCTGATGCTAGAATTTGATCTGTAGCAAAGCATTGGATCAAATATTATATCCCATGCTCGAAGGACTTTCCAAGAATGGTATACCATTTCGCTGCAAACGATTAACTGATGAATCTCAAATGGGAAGGCTTCAAAGCTTCCTCTACGGGAAGCTTCAATTTGGGTCTCAACTCAGCAATTTCTTGGACTCCCTCTGTGAGGAATTGGAATCACTGCTGTGCAACATTGGCAACATCTTCATTTACATAGACAGAGAGGTACAGTGTTGATTTAGTTTCATTACTGCTCCGAGTCTTTTAGTATGAAGTAAAGACTTGAAACAACAATTACTGAAATGGTTAGAGCAGATTGAGTCAGCCGTGATATAGTACACCATTGGAAAGACCGCATCATTTTAAAAAACTTCTGTCTACGCTAGGAAAACACAACTGATTTGTTCCTACTTCGAAGTTTAAAGTCTATATAGCCTCTATATATTGACATTCTTTTCAGTTTAATACAGGTATTTTCATTAATGCACGAGAACTGCGGCTATAAGATGCAGTTATGGCTGTTATATGCTGGTCTGAAATCAATGCCATTTGGGCTATTGAGGTGTGCTACCCTTTGGCTTTCTGCTACTTTATGTGATGAACAATTTAAGATTATGGTGGATGCCATGAATGTCTCGTGCACTCTAGTCGACAAGACCCTTGCTCCTCTGTTGCATGAGTGGATTCGGAGTGGTTATTCAAGTAAGATTTCCCTGGAAAGTTTAGCAAAGGCTTTTGGAACTTGTAGAGAAGGCTATTGCAAATTTAGCCGAATTAAAGCAGATACTGGATTTTCTGACGTAGAGTTTGAAATTCAAGGCCTTAGCACATTTAACCTCATGAATTTTAAGCCAAAATCTGCTGTTATAAAGAATATCAAGACCTTGAATGCCTTATCTTCACTTTCCAATAAGGAACTTGAATCTAGTACATTCAATCTTCAAAGATTATTTCCTCAATTGTTGAGTTATTCATACCCCATGCTTATATATCCAGCTGAGTATGGTTCTTTCAACAATAATTTCACTCTTGATTCTCAACCAATGATTCATTTGGTTTGCTTTCACAATGCTCTTAAAAGAGACCTGAGCCATATTGTCAGTCTTTCTGCCAATTTGTCCAAAAGTAATAGGCTTTTCCCGGATTTCCGAAGATGCTTCCAGCTTCTTCAGTTTTTCTACGATGTTCACATTATGTGGGAGGACGAGGTTATCTTTCCTGCTCTGGAATCCAAGGGAAAACTGAAAAGCACCACTCACTATTACACTGCTCACGACCAATTGGATACTGAACAGTTCAAGAAAGTTTCGCTTATTGTATATAAGCTTTCTGATTTGCTCGATAATCCTGTCACCACAGGTCTGACTAACCAAAAATGTCATCAGCTGTATCTAGAGCTTCATGAAGCTTGCCTTTGCATGCAAAAGGTCATCTGTGAACATATTCATCACGAAGAAATCGAACTCCGGCCTTTGTTTGCGCGATACTTCTCAATTGAAGAACAAGAAACCATAATAGGGCGCATGCTTGGAAGGACTGGAGCTGAAACTTTAACAAGAATAATACCTTGGTTGATGTCATTGTTAGAGGAAGATGAATGGCAAGGCCTGTTATCCCTATGGCGCAAAGCTACAAAAATGACAAATTTTGACGAATGGTTAGGAGACTGGTGTAAAGGTTTGATAAATGTACCTAGAGATAATGGAGGATCGTGTAGTCCTCCTATCTTTCCTGCTGACCCCATAGAAATGATCAGAACATTTGTGGGAGAACAAAGTTTTGGGGCCAAATGTGATATAACTGAAGATAAACTTTCAGTTAAAGATTTGTCAGATCATAATTTGGAGAAATCAGAGGCTCTTACTCTGCATCTGCAAGTTCCCAAAAGTGTTGAAAATGTTGATAAGCACCCTGCTCTTGCTAATTCTTTAGGAGACAGAGATGTTGAGAAACGCAAAGAAAAACTTCTTTCTACTGATCAAGCAGATGAATTCAGACAGGAAGTCAAGGTTTCTCGACACAGTCACCCTTTAGCACTGAGTCCAAAGGAGCTTGAAAATGCAATAAGAAAGATTTCATGTGACCCTAAATTGGATTCTTGTAAGAAATCACAGGTTATGCAGAGCTTGATGATGAGGTAACCGTTACATGAAATCTCTGTCTCTTTCAGCCCCTAAATCATGCAATACATGTTTTCTAGTATATTCTTTTGGTGAAGAGTTATTGAGCTTCTAACCAAAGAGAACTTCTTCTGAGGAGGAGGGGTTTATGAGGGGGTGAGGGAGAAAGATTTAGCATCAAGGTTACGAGTTGTAGTATGACTCCTGGTTCGGACTGAACGCCAAAAGAAAGAACACTATAACATGTGACTGTAGCTAAACATATGAAAAAATCTTAAATGTATTCTTATACATCAGGAAAAAGATGTTAGTTGTATTCCTCTGTATGAAGAAATCTGTGATTGCTAAACTTTTAGTGAATGACATTTGATAACGCTTTTTTCCTATGTCATTGATATGATCTTCCATTGTCACTTGGTTCTGACTCGAGCATATCCATGTGTTTTTGAAGTCATTGGGCAGTGACACAAACGAAGTTGAAGATGACAAGCGCTGCACATGAAAAAGATGAAGATCTGGGTCAGCATCCATCTTACCTGGACTCTCTTAATCAAATTTTTGGCTGTAATCATTATAAAAGAAACTGTAAACTTCTTGCTGCATGTTGCAGCAAGCTGTTTACTTGCATAAGGTGTCACGATGATCTGACCAATCATTCTGTGGATAGGTATAAATGGTGTTCATACATAGCTTTTGATTTATCTTCAATCCTTTCTTTTTGAATCTGTATTCTCCTCTTTCTTCTTATGCTTGCAGGAAAACTATTACAAAGATGATGTGCATGAAATGCTTGGTAATTCAATCAATTGGTCCTACTTGCTCAAATCCAGAATGCAATGATTTCTCCATGGCAAAATACTATTGCAGGATTTGCAAATTATTTGATGATAAAAGGTGAGATAAACAAGGTGTTCCAGTTGCTTACTTCTTGGGCTGAACATCTTAAATTATCAATTGCAAATGCCTCATCTGAATTGATGTGTTAGGATAGCTAAGTGAACTTTTGCAGAGTTGGTGTCAAATATCTTTTACATTTGATGCCCTAATTTGATTTCGACCTATTTTTTATGCCTTTGTAACATAAGCGAATGCCTCTTGACTCTTCATTTAGTTGTACATTATGTATAATTTTTTTTATAGTTGGTTTCAGAAAAGGGGGGGATCTGGCATAAAAGTTACGAGCCAGTTGTCATGTAGTTTCTACTTAAAATTAAGCTTGTTATTTGGACCCTTAAGTTTGAGTACTTCACAAGCCTGTTACTCCTTTCCAAAAAGTATTGGCCTGGGACAAGGGAAGTATTTTATTGGGAGAGTTAGATGGTTCAGATTGAATCATTGGTTGTCCATAGGTATCTTTAGTTGCTAATCTTTAGTTATCATTTGTCGTCTAACGGTTGGACTCATTTTCACGTATAACTGAGGATGTAGACTTGACTACTAAAAAGTTGCGTCTAACAGGAAAGGAACCTTGAACCTACTTTTCTCTGTAACGTGTGAAGTCAATTTTCAACTGACTCTTCCTTTACTCAAATGACTAGTAGCTCTATAACTAAGGAAATTTTAGGACAAATGATCTTTAACAAATAACAGTTATACAGTGAATAAGTAATGTGGAGCCTACGTTGTGTCTAAATTTTCATCTCCATAATCTGAAACTCATCAGTCATATATCTATTTTTTGTTTTTTTAGCTCCACATTTTGGAACTATTACTGACCTTGAGGTTTTGGGACAGGCAAATTTATCACTGTCCCTACTGTAATCTGTGTCGTGTTGGAAAGGGATTAGGTATTGACTACTTCCATTGCATGAAATGCAATGCTTGCATGTCAAAGTCTCTTTCTTTGCATGTATGCAGAGAGAAGTGCTTTGAAGACAACTGCCCAATTTGCCGTGAAGACTTATTTACCTCGAGCTCCCCGGTTAAGGCACTTCCATGTGGTCATCTAATGCACTCGTCATGTTTTCAGGTATCTAGGCTCTATAGTAACTTGATATTATCGATATGTTAGCCAAGATTTTCTCACTGCTGAGATGCTTTTCTGTTGAACAAGGATTACACATTCAGTCATTATACCTGTCCAATCTGCAGCAAGTCTCTTGGGGACATGCAGGTTAGTAAATATTCTAGTGAAATGCTTTTATTCGTTGCAGCTCCCTTTAGAATCTTTATTATAAGGACATTTATTTCAGAGAATGAGAATAATCCATTCTGTAAGCGTCTCTAGCCACTGAACGAGATCATCTTGGCTGATGGTTACTTTTCATTCAGCATTTAACAATGAGCAAGACAGTCTGTTCTTCTCCATTATAGTTTGCAAATTTTTTTACATGCATAATGTCATGGGAAGCTTAATTGTCAATCAGTTTATCTGAGGAATATGTTTCATCTTTGCCCTTTATCTATCATGCAAAAAAGAATCTGGAATTAGTTTATGCTTTTATCACCTTTCAGATATATTTTGGAATGCTGGATGCACTATTAGCTGAAGAGAAAATTCCCGAGGAGTATTCCAGTCAAGTGCAGGTTGAGAATCAATATCTCTGTTGTGGCTTTTTACCTGTTCTATTTCTTTTGCAATAGTGAGAACTTGCTGTTGACAAAATGCAGGTTATTCTATGCAATGATTGTGAAACCAGAGGAGTTGCCTCTTTTCACTGGCTGTATCACAAGTGCCCTCTTTGTGGATCATATAATACCAGGCTTCTATAAATCAAACACACAGGGAGTCTTAATGAAGCTAGAAGAAACATAGTTGTAAGTTGTGAACCATAAAAATTATAGCTTGACACTGATAATTGTGAAGCATTTTCAGTTCTTGTCTTAGCATCTCCATCTTTCCATCTATGGGCTACACAATTTTGTCAAATTTGCAGTAAAATGAAGTGATATACTGTAGTTGTACATGGCGCGACCTTGATCATTATATATTCTAGTCAAGCTTTTGGCCAAGTCTCTGTTGACATAGCAGTCATTAGTAGTGCGTAAGATTAACTCATTTAAGTTGCGTAATATAATATCATAAGAGGTCATGAGTTCGCTCATCAACTAATGTACCATTTGCTATCGGATTTCTGCATTGGGAGCTACCCACTATATAAGTGCTTTATTCCAATCTTCCTCATTCAAAAACAATATATTCTATCCATCTTAATTTAGGTCAGTTGGATCCTTATTTTGCCAGATATTTCCTGTGTAACTATCTATTTTAGTATCTATCTTGGGATGTTATCAGGCCTCTAGCAATGTTATTGTAGAATGCTTTGGTCAAGCATTTGAGGGGAAACACTATCATAATATCTGTACTTTATGGTTGAAAACGATTTTGTTCAGCTGGCTGCTACATGATTGTCCTGGAAATACCCTTTTTGCATGGTGATTGTCAAGCCTGAGTATCTATAGATCACCTGGTTTTTTGCTCACAGGGCATATGTTAATGTGTTTAAGACTCCAAAAGTGCTTGTATGAGAAACATGCTTTGTTTGGATGATAAACTGAAGTTGTTCCAGGGTCAGGCAATCAAGACAAACAGTCATACTTACGGTCTTGTTTTCTTTTATATTGGTTAACATTGTTATGATCTTTCCTTTCTACAGTCCAGTGATCTTAATTTGTCAGTTCTATACATACATTGATGACACTTATATTACTGGTAATACTATAGCCGGTATTTCAGTTCTCTAATTTCTTAACATAATTGCACAAAGTCTTGAACATGTAAAGGGGCTTCTAGGCTGTTGAGGTTGTTTCTGTCCTGTTGCAAATCTGTAGTTTAAGTACTAAACTTTAACAGTTATTGACGCTTCAAGTTGTGGCCGAAACAAGTAGGACTTATTTCCGGATCCCTAAACAAACATTGGAGATCCGCGGAACCTTTGTTATAACTTATAACAGAAATCCAGCTCATGCTACATTATATAGCAGTCAGATTCATTCTGGTACAAATGCTGATTGGGTTAGTCTGAAACTTGACAGGTCACTAATAAATATTTTTTTATCCTGCTCTGAGTTGACTTAGTCTCCTAGAATGAAAGCCCCTGCACAATATAGATGTAAGGTATAAATATATATCATGATGAATATCATTAATCTTAGGTCTCTCATTGAGGGTTAAAGTTGCTTTTCTCATTGTATTTGGTCCAGTTTATCACGAGACATATAAACACATTTAAGTAGGCTATAACTTTTTGTCAAAGCTGGTGAACATCCTGACTACAACTGGAACGGCATCAATTAACAGCTATCCTAACTAGTTATTATATTCTCATGACACACTATGGCAACGTTTGTAGAAAAATGATCTTGTTTTAATGTAGGGCTTGGCTGTGGGCTAAGTAAAGATACCTCTGATTCTAGGACCTCCTTGGGCTAATTTTAAGGAATATGTTGACCCTGTACTTGCTATATATATGTCAACCATTGAACAGTTGGGAATATAACAAAAACGGGATATTCTTCATATAGTTTTCATTTTTCTTAAGAAATTACCCAGAGAATTCCTGGTTCATCAAACTGGCAAATCCAGTATGGAGTGTTGTTAATGGAGCATTATCAACAGAAGTTGAAAGGTGATAGAAAGACCTACAGAGACTAGGAAAGAAACTCTTGAAAGAAATATCGATGCATTTACACTGGAATGAGAATATGTTTCTGGTTAGTAGTTACTGAAACATTACAACTGATAAGAGTGAAGAATTTGTCAGCCTTGATCCTCGTCATTACTTTGAAAGATATGCATAAGCACTATGTTTCTGAGAAGGCTATTGTATGTGTATAATACAAATGCTTTTTATGAAAATTTGTGATTACTTCAATCTAAGCTTTTTTTGCAGACTTGAAATCTTGATCGCTATATTTTGCTGATAATTGCATAATAGTTATGGTTGGTTGAGTTGAGTACAGTGTTCCTATTGCAAATAATCATCAAAATTCAAAGGAGATATCACTTGAAAGGAAATGCATATTGATGCAAATTTGGTACTGTAGGTTTTCTTATGCTGCCTCTGTGATTGTCATAATTGTTGATTAAGACTGCAATCATAGTAACATTGGAAGATCATGAAAAAAAAATATGACATTCTTCTACTGATAATGAAATTATCTTTGAATCTTAAGTTAGAGGGATGATAAAAATTCACCTCTATCTTTCAAAAAGCCAAGATATACAGAATGAACAAATCCTGTCCTCTAGAATCAACTATTAGATCTTGTAATAATCAATTTGAAAATAGAACTGATGAGATGCTAATAGAACGTACTTTGAAAGGCCTCAAACAACATCAGCAGAAAACCAGAGCCGCCAAGAACCAAAGATCCTTGGTTTCTAATTAACACTGGTGAGACTGAAACATGCTGCAGCACTCTTTAAGTCATTCTCTGCTACATGCTCAACAGATTGGGTTGTATCTTTCAGTGATGATTCCGAGCTGCAAATTGAAGAAAGAAAGTGATTTAGTTAAAGATTATCTTCATTTGAAACCTAAAGCTAGGTTGATTTAGTTTAATTATATTTGAGCTTGTTAGTCACTCAAAATTTGAACAAAATTGGGTAGAACACATTGATCTTTGTAACCTGCTACACTACTGCTCTAATATCATATATGCAAATGGACTGTCTACCTTGATTCATAGGCTTCCTTGGAATCTATGTATGACTGTCTATCATCTAGTGTATCGAAGAATGGTTGCATTTCATCATAATCTTGAGTCCCTTCTGATTGAATTGTCAGTGGCTGCGAACTAATCAACTGAGATTGCATTATCGTTTGATTGCTATTATTACTACTGTTGCTATACGGCTGTTGCATCCAGAAAGAGTTTACAGGATTATTGTCCTTGTTTTCCAGGTAGCCATTGCTATTATAGCCACCGTTGCCTCCTCCATTAGAGTAAGAAGGATGTGATCCAATTGGTAATGTGGTGACAGGATTGTATTGTTTTGGTGCATCTTGATGAAAGAGTGTCAAAGCATTGCTTGGAGGTGCCATTCCCAATTGTAACTGTGACAGAGAATCGTTTACGACAGAAATCTCTTGTTGTTGTTGCTGTCGACAAAACGCCAGTTGTGCATGAACAGCTTGCAGTTCCTCCTCTGCCACACGGATTTGGTAGCATAGTTGTTCAATTATCCCTAAGCATCCGTGAACTGGATACTTATCTCGAATATTGGCTTGGTAGATGATGGACTTCATGGCTATTAACTTCTGGCTGGCATCAAGGGGTTTCAGTATCTTCAAAATATTGCTCACCCCAAACAGCCTGTGGGCATTCTGGAATGTCTTAGGTTGATCAGCCGGGAAGTATGGCGCAAGCGCGCAGTCAGGCGTGCACCTCCTTCTCTGGTACTTGCACGCGGCGCAAGCTTGGCTGGTGCCCCCTTTAAGCGTCATATCTCCAACGAAAAATCTACGGATTCAACACAAACAAGGTAGGATTCATGAAAGCCGCAACAAACAATCGTGATCAAGATGCAGAAAACAGAATTGATCCCACTTCCAATTCCAACTTCAGAGAGATAATGTAAGTGTGTGTTACTGTGTGTGCGTGTAGGTTTGTGTGTGTTTGTGTGTGTGTGTTTGTTTTGGTTCTGTTGTGAACTTTGGATGGAAAGGAAAAGGCCAAAGCCAAATGGCAATCAACAACAAAATGGTCTTCTAAACCTGAACTAGTCTCTGTTGATATATGCGGATTTTGCTGTGCAATGACTTAGTAAAAAAACTGAGAGCCTATAATTTTGGGGAAGGTTTCTTCAATCGCATGACCGTTGATGAGCTAGCAAAGTTTGTTACTTTTATTTTATTTTATTTTTTTACTATTTTTTTGGTTTGAGCAGAGTCCTTATTATCTCAGACAATTTAGGAGAGACCAATTTTTTTGGGCCACAAATAGTCACAGCTAAGTCTTAGTTACTGCCAAATCTTTAATTCTTCGTAAATCCTTTAATTAAAAAATATATATTTCAATATTTGAAGTTCTTAATCTTTTTTATCACTTCCAGGCTTTCTCCAGGATGTATTAAATCGTGAATAAAGTAAAAAATAAAAAATAAATTAGAACTTAATAGGCTAATTTCCAATATTTATTTAGCTGATATTTTTGTTATCCCTCCAGGTTTTCTACAGGATGGATGGATGGATGGAATAATATAATCTGGTAGAGAAGATATTATCTTTAGACACGTTTTAATACGTTAAGGAGGCTGGTAAAACAATCTGATTATGATAAACCGGAGGCCCAATTAAGTTGAATCTATAGTAATCATGCAAATGGAATGTTGTAATAATGGTTTGAATCCTTTTTTGATTGATTTTCTACAAGATTTTTATTTGTTTTCTCTTTGAGGAAAGTGAATGAAAATTTCATAATGATCCTTCTTACATTTTTCTTCCACGCTTCAGACCCTAATCTAATCTTCTAATAATTTAAAATAAGTGATTTGATGAACTAAAATAATACTCTAAATGATAAAAATAAATAAATAAATGAGCAACCTATATCGAACTCTAATCAATTAACTCGGTGCGTTGATTTTGTGTAATTAGGAGTCGGCATTATACCCAAAAAAAAAAAAATGGAAAAACTCTAATAAATTAACTGAAGTAAAATTATTTATTGTTGGACTAATTTTTTTTACCCACTTTTTTTAACTTAGCCTAGTTAGCACCAAAATTTACAACCTTATTAGGCGGGATACGTTGGTCAGAATTTAAAGGGATGAGATCCTCTAATCCATCTAATTATTCATATTTCATTCACATACTGAATTTATTTCTCTTATAAAAATTTCAGACCAGAGTCAAAGTATAGATCACTAAGTGTTTTTTTTTTTTTTTAATTACACTAGAGGATTTCATCCCTGTTTAAACACAACTAAACCAGTTTAGCTTTTCTTTCTTTCTGTTTTTTTTTTCCTGTAATTAATTGTCGTAACTTCAGATATTTCTCCTGTAACAAACATTTACAAAAGTATAGGTTCTAATTTGATAAAAGGACTATTACAATATCCTTATCAAGAAGAAAGCGCATTTCATACCAAAAATAATACTCTCTCTGCCTCTCTGCCTCAAATTATCGTCCAATGTTTCATTTTTAGTACAAATCGTACTCAAAGTAAAACTTCAAACTAGACAATAATTTCGCAATGGAAGAAATATTTCCATAACACCACCTAGATACATACTCCCTCTGTCCCAAAATTATTGTCCAGTTTGAAATTTTACTTTTAGTACAATTTGAACTAGAAATAAAAACCTAAACAGGATAATAATTATGGAACGGAGGGAATACTATATAGGCGCTTTCCTTTCTCTTACGAGAATAGATTATAGAACAAAAGATTTTTCTTTATTTCTTTTTTCTTTTTTTTTTTTGTTTTTGTTTATGATGAAATTTGTTCCTCGCGTTCTCGCCACTTAAACACTTGTGATTCTCACATCTATTGCATCTACATTTGTAGCAGAACATAAATCACCATAAAGACATAATATGCCCCTTGCTGCAAACGGAAAATTTAAAATGTTGTCTAGTAAATGCGAGAAGCTTGATTAAAGTAGTTCTGAATAAAAAAAAAAATAGATACTCCCTCTGTTCCATAATTATTGTCCATTTTGCCCAAAAAATTTTGTCCCAAAATTATTGTCCAATTTAACTTTTTATGCATCAAGTTACACATTTATTCTTAGTAAAAAACATTATCCATAAAATCTTAGTGGTTAAACAATTACTAATGTAGGGGTATATCCGGTTGTTTAAGGTAAAATATAGTTAAATTTAACCAAAAATAAAATCTTTCATTTTAGTAAAACTAGACAATAATTATGGGACAGAGGGAGTATAATCTAATTCTATTGAAGATTATGAACATAAGAGTCACAATAAGAAGAAAGTCCATGGTTTTTAACTGAAATAAGATTTATCAAAATTATAGTGTTCACAATAAGGAATTCTTCTATTCTAACTTCAAACAGTTTTCACAAATCACAACATATGCCAAGTTCTTCTGCAACCTGAAAGGTTGCTGCCTCTTCATGAACTCTTCAAATCTATTTCACGTGGTCAGCAATGGTGAACAATAAAGGAGCATAACTGCTGAAACCGATGTTACTATTGTATGAAGGACAGTCAAGGGGGAAAGAGCTCAACATCTTTTGCAGATCTGATTCCTCGAAGTATACTTTTTGCTTCTTCTTTTTCCTGCATCATGGTGAGAGAGGTTTCAGTTGCAGCTATTACCGATTAATAAGAAATTAGGGCAAAAACTAATCAATGAGAAAAACAAGGTTTCAACTTACAGGGCCGGTATAATCAAGGAGACGATTGCAATATATCTCTGCTTCTTCAAATCTCTTTTGTTCTTTGCAATATCTTCCAAGAAAGGACAGAGCTTCAACCATGTTCGGCCCTTCCCTCTCTTCGGCTTCCATCCTATCCAAATCTTTCTTGTAGTAAAATGCAGCCTCTTCAAAACGACCAAGATCTTTGTGCAACTTCGCGAGCTGATTAAGCGCAATTGCTTCATTGTCATTACAACTCTCAGCCCTTTTGAAACACTTGATAGCCTCCTCAAGCATGTTAAGCTCTTCTGACTTGTAACACCCAGCCATGGCAATCCACAACCGAGAATCACTTGGCTGCAAGAACACAGACTTTTTGAAGTAATGAAGGGCATAAAATGGCATTCCCATCATCTCATATGCTTGCCCTAAACCATACCAGGCTCGATAATCACATGGATCAATATCAACAGCTCGTCGATACGCATCAACAGCTGCTGGGGTATTTTTCATCTCAACATACTCATGACCCATCAGTGTCCAAGCGGATAAATAATTACTATTCAACTTGAGGGCCCTTCTGAAATACATGACAGACTTCTCATGCTGGCCTTTCAGACTGTAATAGTTTCCTATTATACAACAGGATTCAGGCCTATATTTATCGGTTGAAAATACTCTGTGTGCAAGGTAACTTAAAGCTGATAAGCATTCCTTCGCATAAAGCACATTTGAATACATATCCATGTCTTCAACTCGGTAAGGGTCATTCCTAAGAAGTTCCTCAAAAATAACTTCCACCTGTTCAAATTCCCTCAAACTATACTGAACTTTAGCAATTTGAGCTTGTATGTAATTGCTAAAGCTGAAGGTTAGTTGTAAATGCTCATACTTTCCCAAGGACTCATTATGCATCCGAAGTTCTTGATAAGCACTGGCAAGAAAAAAGTCTTTCATCCAGTGGTTCACAAGATGAAGACCATCCAATATCTCAACAGTGGTGCACAAAGTCTGAAGCTCAGACCAAGCACTCCAGTTCCAGGGGTAGTTATTTACAGACTCCACAAGAACCATTCGAGCATCACTCTTATTTCCTTTCTCCTTAAGAACAAGACCATACAGATAAAGGCAAAAGGCATCAATTGTTCCATTTTTGCGCAGTAATGACAACTCCCTCTCAAGAGAAATAAGTTCTTTATTTACAGCATCACCTTTGCCTAATGGTCCTTCAAGTTCCACCATCTCCTCTGCCTTTCTCTTCTCACCAGCCTATGGAAGGAGAAAGAAGCTAGAATGACTAAAGAGAAATAGTTGTTGAAATCCTTAACAAGCAAATGAATATACAGAAGAACCAGAAACATATGGGGGAACAACAAAATCACAATGGAAAGAGATCAAATCTTGAAATCCTTTCAGGGATGCATTGAAACAAAACAACAGTTTGTTAGCTAGCATAGCATAAAAGACAAATTTCTGGATTTGTCTTCTTGTTCATAAAATATATTTTTCTCAGATCACATAGCAGAACGTGCTTCAGTCTACTGAAACCACCAAATTTCATAATTACCTGCCTGAACTATTTCTAGAAATATGCAACTAGCGTATTACTGTGCTTTGATAAGGTGGGTTTGGATAAATTTACGATGCACTCCTCAAGTTTAAAGTATCCAACTTTCAAAACTGTACTCTTATAAAAGAAAATTTAAGAATCACGTTAAAATGGGATACCTAAAAGTTAGATGACTCCAATCAAGGATTGGTGGGTCATTGCACAGTTCTTTCAAACCCTAAAGGTGCTTTTCTCCAGGAGCTAACTCTGCCTGTGCAGATCCTGGTCAGTTCTCAATCTTGCAACTATATAGCTATATATAAGAAATTCTCATTTAAGCTTACACTACTGCATATTATCCATAAAACTGAACAAAACTTGTCGCAATTTCTTGATGGCATTGGTAACCTAAATTCTCACTGGCCAAAACTCCAATCTCAGTTACAAGAAAACCAATGAGTAAATCGACAGTGCCTCTCACTAGACATAATCACACATCTTTCAAAACCTACAGTAGCAAGCATTCTTCCACTTTATTTGCTTTTGGTTGATGACCCCTCTATGAAGTAAATGACAAAAATAAAAGCACAACAGGAACTGAAGTTATTCAGGTGAATCCTGATGGCCATCAGATGCAACTGAGCAAAAATTTATCAAGTCAACTGCACATGAGTAAATACTGTAAGTCTGTAACATGTGTTCGAGATAAATGTTAATCTAAATCCCCTTCCTACAGTATATGACACCACTGAGTATTATAGTTGTATCAGACTTCAGATGCCAAAACACATCAAATGGTCAGCATTTTCCATCCATACCAGAAATCAACAACTAAACAAACCATATTTGAGAATTTACATCCATAAAATTCACATGCACGCATCAAAAGGGGAGAAAGAAGATGGCAATAATGAACAGACATAAGATGAATTCACCCAGTCCAGGATTATTCTCTGAGCCTCAGTTTCAATAGACACAAAAGAATCAATTTGACATAAAGGTTGATTAGAGAATTAGGGTAGCTGTGGGTAATTCGGAAACCGAAACGTATGATTTGCGACTACAAGACAGTGATGCAAAATCTCCACTACTAAGTAGAATTAGCAGCAGCTGATATGGAAAACTATGGAGAAGTTTCAACTACAACAACATCGTCCACGTCCATTTTCTTAATGTTGTTTACTTGATATTAAACTCATGTTTACTCTACAATTTCCAATTATCTTTAAACATGTGAAGATAAAACTTTAGTTTGGCCGACTCCTGTCCGAGTTTTCAACTTACAGTACTAGCCAAAGCTTTCCCAAATACACAAAATTTACTTGACTCAGACCAGAAGCACAAAACTCAGAGCAGATTTTCAGGTGCATACAAGCTTGCAATACATATTAACGAAGAAAGGCTTCAAAAGACAATTCAACTAAGTGGTGTTCTGTAAAGTGGAATGCTAACTTGAGTCATCTACGGGCTATACATACACATTTCAGAAAACCTAACCCATCCATTGTAGTCAACCCAGGTTGATATTATTATCAGTGTGATTCTTGCACTGAATACTCCCATATTAAATTCCTATGAACAACCAACTTCGCGAAAACTTTGAAATCAACATTAGTTTAATCTACAACATCGGTTCCGAAAGTTGATTAATTACATCAGGAAAGGTAAGATAAAACAAAAATCTGGCACACAGCCCCAACCCTGCCTCAAAATCCCAAACTTGCAGTCAGGAAAACTAAAAAATCAATCGTTTAAAACATAACTAGAAAGACCCAAGTAAACTAAGATTATAATGCAAGAACAAACGAGGTCAAAGAAAAAAGAAACAGCACCAAGCAATGTAACCGGAAAAGAAATATTAAAAGATGGGTGGAAGATAATAACCAAATAAAGGGCGTAACATCGCAAGAACACAGCTTGTTTGCTCGTCTGGTCCCGGAGAATGTGAGCCGACCTTCTGTACTCCTTGCAATCGAAATAAGACTTGGCTAATAAATAAAAATCGCTCTCCAACGCGTCATTGTCCTCCTCCTTGAGCGATGGCGTAGACACAAACGACACCCCAGCAATGGGAGTTGAACAGAAACCGGGGGCTGCAGCCTCCACGGAACCATCAGTCCTAAACCGCCGGCGAATACTGGAGCTTCCACGCTGGAACCTCGTATGTGAGGGCTTATGCTTTTCTGGGTCTTGCTCTATTCCCACCAACTGCTCCGCGGCCCTTCAAAGAAATTCAAAATTTTTCAAAAGAATTTGAAAAAAATAAAAACCCAAGTTCAGAAATTCGTCAAATTTGGATGAATTTTTCTGGGATTTCTTAAAGGGCTTTGGTTACCTACCATCTGGAAGCGGAATAGAGGCAGCGGTCACTGAGCTGACGGATTGCAGACCGGAGTTCGTGTCTGCAGGTCTCTTTGCTGGTCATCTTTATTGGATCTGTCCAAGTAACAAATACTATTTCACAGAAAATGTGAAATGCGCATAGTTATAGGGTAGCAGGTGAAGTGATTTTAGGTGTTCGGGGAGCGGTAGTAAGAGAGGAGGAGGAGGAAAGGGCGGGCGGAGGAATGCGAGAAAGTTGAAAATGTTTTGGGTGGCAATCAATAAGAACGCCAAACGTGTATTTTGTTTTCCCTTATTTTCTTTTCCAAAATTAATTAAACGCCAAACTGGTGTAAACCAAAAATAAAAAATAAAAAAAATAATTAAAGTTGGGCTTAATCTATAATGTAGTAAGTATATAGGAGAAAAATTTGACGTTCCTACCAAAACTTTGAGGTTGCTATCAATGCTACTCGAATGTGTAAGTACCAGATCAACGTGGAGTCTCATCTTAGCAGTACTATCTCTTTCCTCATAAAGTTCATCTACATATAATAAACTAGATATTTGTAATCGTGTGTCAAAAAAAATATATATCGTTAATTATATTTGTTGGAATTAAGTTGTGAGTTTTTTTACATCATTATTGTGTGAGTTTTCTTTGTGACAGTTATTGAGTGAAAATGAGCTTCAAAACACTAATCCTATCCCCGCCTGTCTTGATCGTAATCCAAGTTCATCTTAGTCTTCTCATAGTTCAATTGTTCTTTCTTGTGTTCCTCATATGATCTTCTTTCTAAATTTCTTTTATTATGTCGGTTCTTTTGTTGTTTTAATCTTTTGCTATTGCTTTTTTTTTTCAAAAAAATCTAAGAGTACAAACTTTAATTCTTTTTCAATTTTCTGTCCTCCTTTGAATCAAATCCTTCTATCCTTCTAGGTTTCTATCTGTTCCTAGTTTACAATTGCGTATTAGAATCTCATTATAATTTTTTTTTAAGTTTAACAATAATTTGTTTGTAAACTATTTATAAAAGTTTTTTAAAACTTATATTTTACAGTTTCAGTTCTGGCAATATTTTATGAGAATTTTTCTCTATTATCTTCTGGTGTTGATCTGCACTTTTTTGTAGATTATTAGTCTCTGGTGAAATGGAGGAAACTATTGATCGTTTCTATTCTGGGTTGTCTCTTTATGCTGATAAATCACTACGTCAATCTGACAGCGGCAACGGTTATCACCACATCAACCATTTCGGCAAGTGAGATTGAAAAGAAGCTCAAAAGTCTTTGGTATACTAAATCAGGAATCTCTTATAAGTTGGTTGCTACTAATGTATAAAACAACCAAATATGCAGACTCACCATGTATAAGAGCAACTTCAACGTTGCATCAAAACATCAAATTGGTGAAGATTTGTTTTTTTTTTTGGTCCAATTTTATAGCAAAACAGCAAAAAGAAAAAAAGCAAACTGCTATTGGGGCTACAATATTACCCCTTTGTTTCCCTACTGTAGCTGCAGCAATTGGTGTGTCCCATTAATTCTTTTCTTTCACTCTTCTTGGTTCAATTTTTTTTTTCCTTTTATTTTTTGGGTTTCTGGTGTAATCTTGCTACATAAAATAGAGTTATGGGTTGGAGATGAACAATATCAAAATAGCAATTTTTAGGATTTGATGTGAAGCAAATTGCTTCAACGTTGGAGATGCTCTAAAACAACCATGCTCGCCACAAATTAAAAGACCATAATCAGAGTTTCTAGGATGATCAATTAAAGGGCCATCAATATTCTAACTAAAAGAGTTCATACTTGGAAGGAACCAGTAAACCATCTGACTTATTTGACAACTTATTTTAAGAACTTTTACTTTGAAGAAATCTTTCAAAAAATAGATATCAGAGTCAGATTCAACTCTATCTTATTCACTCTCATCTTTTCATTTGTCATCTATTTCCTCCATTCACAAATAGATGACGTTGAAGGAAAAACTAAATTTTCTAAAATAGATATCATTCTCATAAATCAAGGCATGTTTTGTCAAATTTTTCTAACATTACCCTTACTTTAGAAATTGTAGTGATGTTTAATGTAGAATTGTATTAGAACTAAATTTTATTGGGTATACAATTGAATTAAGAATAAATAAAGGTATTATACTATATTTTAAGAAGATAATTATTGTCTTCTTAAACTTCGTGAAAAATCAGCGAAATTTATTTGTGAATGAAGAGAGTATATATCAAACATGGTCACCTCAAATAAAAAAAAAAAATCATAAATAGAGTTTCTAGGATGACTAAGAGAAAAGCCATCAGTATAAACCAACAAACCATCTGCCTTATTCGACGATTTATTTTAAGAACTTTTACTTTGAAGAAATCTTCAAAAAAAAATAATGGACATCAAAGTCAGGTTCAACTGTCATCTTATTTACTCTCATCTTTTCATGTGTAATTACACTATCTCTATTTTATTTAGACATGTTAAACAATAGTAAAGTCAAATATACTCATTGTGCATATTGAATTCTTTTTATTCTTTTTTCTTTTTTCCTTTTGTGCCTTGGTTACTTCCATTTTAGAAATTTTTTCCCTTGTTGCTAAAACTGGAAGTTGATTGATTTTTATTTTATTTTGATGTACTTTTTAAAATTTTAAGGATTTCATCATGGTGTCGCCAAAACTCAAATTTTGTTAACATATATATTATGAATTATTAAAAATATATTTTAAAATATTAATCTAATCAGACCTATGTCGCTTTCTCAACAATTATTAGAATTTCAACTTCTACCCAATTTGAGTCCCATTAAGAAAAGCAAATGACTGAAAAGCAAGAAAGAAAGATAACCAATTATCTTTGTGAAAGAATTTTAGCAGACTAACTGTAGAAATGATCGTTTGATGGATTATAAAGGCATGATGATTACAAACAAATATGTATTTTTGAAAAATTATTTCCCTCTATACAGACACACACATAGTCACTTTAACCATGGTTTACACGATCTATGTGTAGTAGATATTTTTCTTATTTTTCTACAAAAGACTCATCGATTCCTCTTCGCTTCTCCCAAAAAACTCAACTTTGTCATAGTTGCATGATCCGTGAGATTTGGTTTTCTGCCACAAACAAATGAAGATGAGAACAACGAAATAGAAATTAAAGAGTAAGAAATAATAAAAAAATAAAGATAAAGAAAATAGACACAGAATTTTATCAACTGAAGAGTTGTGTTGGTTAGATCTTTGAGGGCTTCTTGTACTTAAAGATAGATGGACAAAACAGATGAATGAAACAAAAAGATGCAAAAAAAAATCCATTATTATTATTATTAATTATTAAAGTAAATGAAAAAGAATGAATAATTGAGTTTTACATTTTCCATTGTGGGAGGAAAAGAGACAAATTTAAATAGAAAAAAATCATGTGCATGAAAAAACAGATGTGATAAAGATACTAAAGAAGTGTCTTTTAAAATAAATGAAGAACATCAAGATTTGGATTTCACTTTTTTCAATTATAAATACTAAGAGAAAATGAGAAGAAAAATTTTAATAAAAAAAAATCACATGCACGAGACAATTATATTATACATGCATTTTATGATATAATACTAATGATGATAAATAAATAATAATATATAGAAATAATAATAATAATATTGTTTGATTATATTCATTTATTTATGTAACATTGTATTTTTACTCATTCTCTAATAATTATCTTTCTTCTTTTTTTTCTTCCAAAAGAGTGACAACTACCAAACAAAGTATGTATTTAGAATTTTTCTACCTGTATATCTCTATCTGTATATATATTGAAGAAGAGTTTTCAATCGAACACATAGCGTAAAATTAGATAGGTTAATCCACATGACTCAAAATTAGATAACCAAGTCCGCATGTCGCAGCCACATTAATCCATCATTTAATGATAATTTTTATTCGTAAAATAGTAAAATTTATAAATAATTAATTTTACCTGATTTAAAGAAAATAATAAGAGAAGTTTTTTTTGAAATAACTTTATTTGTCAATTTATCTACAAACATAAAATAAATTAAAATAAAAAATCATTGCATATATTTCCTTTAATGATAAATAAAGTTAAACTAAAACTAAAGAAAAATTATTATACTGTTACAAAAACTAGCCAAACCGAAAATAAAAGCTGCATGCACGCCATTCAAAATTTTTATTGCTACCAATGAAAGAAAAAACTTTATTTAACTACTTAAGCAAAACTAACAATCGACGGTGATTACATAACTACATATTAATTTATAAAATTAATTTGAAATCCAAAAAAGCCGAAACTAAAGAAATGAACCATACCAATTGGATCCTAAATAGTAATCAAATTACCTACATCGATTCGCAATTGTGTGGAAGAGAGAAAAAGACAACACCCCAAAAATCTATACAATACCAAAACTAATAAAGGAACTCAAAGAATCTTTAACCATCGATTACAAGTCTAAATGAATAGAGAGAAAAATATGAATACCTAAAAATGTATCCAGCAATTAAGCTAAATCATGGGGAGAAGACTTCAAAGCATGAAGTAGAAGATGTGCGTCCGGATTATACCACATTCAAGTTATATTCACACGGGTAGAAAATTTTTTGTGAAAAGGAAAGTTTAAAAGATTTGACACATGCAAAAATATTTACAGAGATCATATAAAAAATTAAGAGAATACATTTAACAAAAAGATATAAATTCATAAAATCAACAAAACAAAAAAGATGGAAAACACATTGACACATTGACATTAAAAATTACACAATTATAATTTAATAAATCAGTTATATTAATATCACTCAGTCATATTAATATCACTCAGTCGGAAATGGCATATAATCCTTTAATCATTTAACGTATATATATCTTGAACTACATGCAGAACGTGTGGGGTAAATACTAGTATACATAAAATAAAAAAAGTTGTTGTTATAATGGGTTCAATTAACCAATCAGATTGCTCAATTATAAATTCCTGACATTATTGGAGTTTTTCGGCCAATTATAAAGCTCAATTGAAAATTTGTGCGATTCTAGCTAATCGGAACTGAGCAATGACACAAGCGGTACCAGGTGAATTTTGGAACTCAGGAGTCGAATGTCTACACGGACTGTGAGACATTAACAAAGAACTTGGATGCGGTAAAAGTACCGGTGAAAACTCAAGCGGTAATTGCTAGTCTTCAAACTAATTGTACATATGGACAAGAGATTCATAATATAGCATATTAACAAGTTTAAATGTAACAATGAGTACTGTTATTTATAACTAGTATTATGCCCGCACGTTATGCGGATTTTAATATATTTT